AGAGGTTTTCAGCATTTAAAAGGCGTCGAATTGAGTCGTTTTTCACTTTATAAGATACCTCAGTAAGAAGGTCTTCGTGGGCAATACGTGGATTATTCGAGATAGCATCCAAAAGACGTACTTTGTCGGTGGCATCAAGCTTCTTTGGTCGACCAGAGCGAGGTTTCGTAACACCAGCACGCCGTTCGTGCTCCTTTTTAATTGTATACCGGATTGTAGAGAGAGAAATCCATGGGTACCGGTTGTGAATGCGCTTATAACCCCAATGAACAGCCGAGTGAAGCTCACATATCATCTCTCTAAGAGCCGGGGTAAGCTCAGATCGAGCAGGCATTACTGGCAGCCTATAAAATAGGAACATTATAGGGGTATAGAGAGCAGAGAGAGGTAGAAAAACGCGAGATATACGCGCCATGGGCGAGCTTCACTAGCGCGTGATATAGAGCGGTGTATACTATAATGGAAGGTGGTATTTAGGTGGGGCCAAAGGGGGTGTTAAAACTTTTTGCGTAGTGACTGTACCTCCACACTACCACGGTATATTGTAAACGAGATCTAACATCCCGTGGCAAAGTTTACGTTTCAACAACTAATTTATCCCAAGCATTCATTTCCTCTACCACCTCTTCCATACATCCCCATAGATCCACTATCCAAATCCACATTGAACCGTGTGCCAATCATTCGGGATGCAAAACACTCGCCAGACGTCTAGCGAGTTCCCTGTGTCGCAAATCTGGGGCTAAAAATAACGCCTTTCGACATCCACAATCAGTTCCTGTGGGGCAACGTGGCGTCCAGAATTTTTGTCAAAGGGCTGTTCCGCTCACTTCGGCCATTCAGTAAAGGACCAGGGCCAAGCCCCGACATCTCGTGTGTTTGAAGTCAAGGTACAGAATAGTGTTTACAATATGCGACGGGCTACTCGGGAGCCGTTGCCAGCGAATCTCAGTACGCAAGTCTTGGCGGTTTGACCTTGAACTCTACCTAGGGCTGCCCAGGATAGTGGCTGGTGGGTAGGCATTTCCCGAGGTCGAAACCTGTTGCAGCTGTGGATCCCCTTTTACGTGTTGTGTTGCTGTCGCAGCAAGTGGTATTACTGTAATATGGGATTCAAACAGCCTCCGTACAAAGCGCTGTGGTTGGTATTTGCAGGTTTCTTATAGATTTTGAAAGTTATCATCTATTCTTAGGAGCGGCTTGGGGGATTCCTGTCGAAGGAATTCATTGCTTGCATTCAGCCTTTCTTAAGCTTAGGGCATAGGTCGAATTGTCATGTTAAGAGAACGTAGAACATCGCCAAGCTGTTAACGTAAAATTAATTGTGCATCAACATCGTTTTGTGGTCCATACTCCGGCGTTGGAAGTTTTATTCTCACACTTCATACAGACAGAGAGGCTGTCACACTCATACTCGTTCTATGATTTAGAGACGTTGACCGAAACACTTGCTTAAAAGGTGAGATGCAGATTGATTCCGCCCTTGTCGCTCTGTGAAGAGCCCATTGAGCTATGTCGATTTTCTCCTAGTTTTACGCCCACCTACAAAGTAAGATGACTTGGATCCGAGGTAACTTACCGTTCCTTCCTGTCGATGAAAGGATAGATACCGAGAAAGAGATGAGTTAGTTGGGGGCAATGGCCATATGATCCATTATGCCTTCCTCGATAGCTTCTGTGAGGTCGGACTCGAGTTCGTGGTTAATTGCCTTCATTTTGTAAGGCACAAGGTTGTGACAAGGAAACTGGTGGAGCTGGCTCACAGGCATTTCCGAACTACCAAAGTCCGAATTGACCTTCGAGCTCCCAGCACTCAGGGCAAATTATTGATTGCTTGCTGTTGTCCTTCTAGGTCGCTTCATTGTTGAATGCATTAACTGGCTGCAATCAGGAGGCAGAAGCAATTGCGCTTATGAAAGCTCCTGCCTAGGATTAGAAACTCAGTGCCAATACAGTTAATTAAATTAGATGATGTAGCGCTTAAACATATGTAGACACCGGTCTGGTCCTTGGCTACCAAGAGCGAGCCGTGGTTGTTAATCATTGTGTTCGAGGTGACGCGACTGACTCCAGGTTATCGACTCCTCCCATGAAGATTTAATTCAATTCCTAACTCAACTTCGGGGGCCTTGTAATATACCCAGTGAAATCACCTAGTAGCCTCGAGAGTGGCGATCTCCGTGTAACGCAGTGCAAATGATCAAGTCACCTGCCTCGGCAGTTTCTGTCCTTCTACCAACATCCCTCGTAGAATTACCTGTTCGACCAAGCCATGGATGATGCAAAGCCAGTTGACCAGAGATTTACTAAAGCGCTACCGAAAATTGAGGTCTGATTGATACCTTGTTCCCTTGTTCTACTATATGGCTTTGCTGACTGGATCACGCTCCAGTTGCACGCACATCTCAGCGGGAGCATCAGTCGCCAATGCCTGCATGAAATCTGGAAACGCAAAAAAGCGCAGAATCCCGACCTCGATATCGAGGATCCACTGGTACTGATGCCCCCAGGAATGGTCGATTTTACGCTGGAAACGTAGGTGTCTGTGCCTGCACGGGATCATGCTGCAAAATTGTTGCTTTCCAAGCTGACGAAAGGTCAGGTTCTTCTCAACATTTTCCAAGTTGACCTACCAGCTCTGTAACGACCTACATAGCTTGGTATACGCTACCAACTCAGTCCTCGAAGACTTTCTTAGAGATGGAGTAGTGCACCTCGAGCTACGGACCACACCAAGAGAATCTCTCAGCATCACTTGAGACCAATATATCAACTCAGTTCTGGATACCATTGAGAAGTTCCGAAGCAAAACTGAACGTATGTCCGTGTTTTTGATTTTAGCCATCGATCGCGGGAGCATGACAGCAGCAGAGGCCGACGAGATCGTCAATCCTGCAGTCAAAAACAAGGCTCGCGGGGTCGTGGGCGTTGATATCTGCGGTAACCCAACCAAAGGCAATATCAGCATCTACAAAGAATCATTTGCGAAGGCCAAAGCCAATGGGCTAGGAATCACCCTCCACTTTGCCGAGACAGCAGCTTCGGCTTCAGTTAGCGAACTGTCGACCCTTCTATCTTTCCAGCCTGATCGACTGGGACATGTCATCCATGTGCCTGACGAGATCAAGAAGGAGATTGCGCGACGTCAGCTCGGTCTCGAGCTGTGCATTTCTTGCAATGTTCATTCAAAACTGATTGATGGCGGATTTATGGATCACCATTTCGGTTATTGGCGACATGATGACTGCCCGATCGCGCTATGTGTGAGTGTATCCAACCAAGATAAAGCGTTTTTCACCTTTCTTTCCCTCTAACTCTGGATTTCCACAGACCGACGATGTGGGGTTTTTCTGTAGCCCCGTTTCCAACGAGTACTTGTTGGCCGCACAGCACTTCGGTTTGAGTCGGACTGATCTGTTGGACATGTGCAATAAGTCTGCAGATACAATTTTTGCTAGTGAGTGCTACAAAGGGAGAACTCAGCTCCCAATCTCTATTTCTCTTTTCAATTTCTCTTTTGAAAAACTCATTCATCTCACCTTACCAACTCATGGGATAAACCGTCTTTCATATCCCCCTAAGCTCCAACATCATCATGGCAAACGGAGCCCTGCCACAAACCCTCAAGTCCATCACTGCCACGAAAATCTGTTCTCTTCTGTATGGATTATGCAGTCAATCAAGCGACCGACGGCGCCTTTCCGTACCGGCTCCATGATGACTTCTGGTTTTGGGGCGCAGAGAATACTTGCGTCAAGGCATGGCAAGCACTGGAGCAGTTTACTAAGGTAATGGGTCTGAAGTTCAACATGGAGAAGACTGGAACTGTACAGATGGGCATGAATAAGACCTTGAAAGAGTAAGCTCTTCCCATTGGTGACATCTGCTGGGGCTTCCTGGTTCTAGACGCGGAGGAAGAAAGATTCATAATCGACCAGACCCAGATTGATGAGCACATCGAAGAGCTTTCACGGCAGCTTTTGTCCTGCGAAAGTGTTTTCGCTTGGGTACAGGCATGGAACAGCTACTTCGGCCGCTTCTTCGCCAACAACTTTGCAAAACCAGCCATTTGCTTTGGTCGAGACCATATCGACATGGCCAATTCTACCCTGAGCCGCATCGAACGCACACTTTTCAACAAAGCCTCAGATAGTGCAAGTCCTTCAGATGAAATCAGTGGCGTCACCGACCATCTACGCACTGTGATCGCAGATCGGTTCGACATCCAAGATCTACCTGATGGATTCTTCTATTATCCCATTGAACTAGGCGGCATGGGACTCCTCAATCCGTTCATTAGACTGCTCGCCATTCGTGAAAGCATCAAACAGACCCCCCGAAAGCTACTGCACAAGGCCTCGCTAAAGGATGAAAAAGAATACGAGGCAGCGAAGGAAAGGTTCAAGAAGAGAGGCGCTGATGTAAGCAGCCAGTTTTGGAGCAAATGGAACGGCGAATCCATGCCATTCATTCATGTCTCTGGAAGAGTACACCCGCTATCCGGAAACATTCAGTCCCTCTCTTGTGGATGTGTATAAGAAACTTACCGAGGTGCCGAGCGAGGCAAGCGTGGCTCGGACTTCAAGCTTTGAAAGGGAGCAGAATTCACTTGATCAAAGGTACTCCACAGGCTCTATCTCTGCTTACTGGGGGACTGATGCCCTACTGGAAATGGGTGGCGGAGTTGTATCACGAAGGGATGGTTCGCACGTACGGTGGCCTGGCTGCTGTGAATCGCGAGTTTATGCCTCTAGGTGTCGTTAAGACACTACGGGAGGGTAAATTCAGATGGCAGAGCTGATTGAGGATCGTGTATCTGAATTTGCTTGGATGTCTTGCGGCTTCGTGGCGAATGTCTCTTGCATGAAGCAGATCAAAAATATCTCCGACCTAGACAGAACAAAAAAAAATTTAAACTACACACTTTTCCACATGATTCAACTCTTAAACTAAGTTTCCTATAATTCCGAGGTTATCTCTTCTACCTTTTGTTCCCAAAATCTCAATTTATTACTTTCCCATATAGAAGTAGCTCTAGAAGTGATAGCCCTAGGGCAACGTGTTAAATTTATTAGAAATGCCAAATCCAAGCGTCGTGAGATTGAGCTCCTAGAGGAGGATGAAACTAAAATTCTGATCACTAGATGACTCTGGGAAGCGGATCAATGCCCAACACTTTCAGCTAGCAGTGTTTATTTATGAATCATGCAGTCTTACTCGGGCTGCAAATAAGGGGCAGATTTGTAAGGAAAATTGTAATGATTCTAGCCATATGATCCTCGTTTAGCTATCTATCAATCATCCATCTTCAAACACCAAAAGGTGTTTTGGGCGATGTAGAACTGGACCCCCATACTGCCTGATGTAGGAGATCCAGTACGCATCACTATTTACACCAGTAGTTACATTACGCAGGTAGTTGGTGTTACGTTGAAGAGGATTTTGAAAATTCAGCCATTAGTAAGTTAATAGCAATGGACTACAAAATTGATAATAGGAGGTTCTGTTTTATGAAAGACATTAAACAACAAAAGCCAAGATGCTATTTAAGACGGGCAATGTGAAGTAGTGTTTCTTTAGCTCTATTTGACCATTCCTCTCTCTATTCTGAGCTCTGCGTAGCGGCAATGGCCTGGAAGAGTCGTCCAAACCGTGATCCAATTAGTTGGGGCCTGCACCTAGAGCAACAACCTAGAGATGATCGATCGGTTCCCAGGACTATCTAATTTCATTCAATAACCACATGGACCTATTTGAAGCTACCTAGACCCAGATCTGCAGCTTAATCCCTCCTGGCTTCCTACCCTCCACTCCTAGCGCTGATAAACTGTCTCCAACGCCCGTAGTACCATCACTATGATGTATACCGGTGTGTCTGCATTCGGAAAAGTGCTTTTTAAATGACTTTTGTGCTTTTGATTATAAGGTTTACCATAGCCTGGATGGTGCTTGGTTCCAAGACGTACTTAACTCATTGCGATGCTTAAAAGGCTCTTCCCATCATCGCCGAAACACTTTTCGGCGTGGCAACCATGGATATAGCCCTAATTGATCTCCATCGGGGAAAGTACCCTTGAATTGTGAGCAACTTCTATGGAACTCGATATCGGCTCTCAAGAAGGCTTAGTAGTTTTAGAATCTCAGTCAACATATACAACCATCAAATTCATTTGTCCTTTTCATTTTTCTTTCTATTTCATCTATTTCATCTGACTATTACATCATTTTGCCATCAAGTATACATCCAATCCACTTCAAGTGCATCTCAACCAGCCTTCACTATATAGTAATATCGAATACTCGATCGACTTTACGAGATTGATACACCACCACCCCACCTCCAAAACCTCCAAGGCCTTTTCATATAAATAACTTAAGGCTATATACAACATAGTACGATGGGAACCGTGCAAGCCTACTACGAACAGGTCAAGGTCTCCAACTGGCTCGATGCCATTTCTAGGGACAACGAAAGTATCGACCCAAGGTACGCATTCATCTTTATATGTGTCTCTTCCAAAGTAAGTTTACATGATTCAAAGGACACTCGAAGTCCATCAGGTGGTCACAGCCCACCACAACACCCACTACCCGGACCAACCATCTCGGTCCGAAAAACACCCATCCCCCTGGTCATCGCGCTGTTCCTCCACCGACCTACAAACTCAAGGTCCACTAAAGCTGGAGCACCAACCTTCAGCTGCGAGACTACTCGGAAAGTCTTCTCTTGGTCGGCTGTACGACCAAATCAGCCAACACGAACCAAGACGGACATTCACCGAGTTCCTGATCGAAGAAGACACAATCTCGTTGGCCACGACCGCGACTGACCCGGAGTACGAAAACTCTTTCCTCCCATTCTGTGGAGCATTGCCACCACAATCCGGGGAATCCTCTGCATCCACCTCTACTTCCCCATCACCCTCGACCTCTCCGCCTACCAACCATGAGCCCCAGTGGTTGCCTCTTGTGGTTGCACAAGTTGTATCGAGCAAAGCCCGCAAAGCATATCGGGTCTTGAAGAAGAAGTTTGGTACATGATCCATGTCTGATCATGTACCTTTTGATTACTATTTTCTGTTGTCGCTGGCACCAACCACATCGTTCCCGCGAGGGAACACGGGGAGCAAACACGGGGTACTCTTTCCAGCTGGGTGATTTATCCCAAAGGGTTTTAGCCCGGTTGGTTTTAACGAGGCCCCAAGTTATGTGCAAAGCACCAATATGTTTTGTCTGTTTTATGGGAAAATTGAAAATTTCCCATGTTGATGCCCTGTACGCTATCTTTTTTTTTGTCAGGAAACGAACACGATCTGAAATTTTTTCTATCTCAGTAATGAGAAGTGTAGAAATGACTATAGGTTCGTAGAAAGCGTATAGTTGAGGTGCGAAGTGCAGATGGTGGAAATGTATAGATCGAAGGCGGTCGGCCCACCTGCCCCGTGTTGTCTCGGCAGAGTTGCCTCTCCACGATGAAGCCACCGTGAACAACTGCGGCCACAGGGCATCATCAATAACCACCCCGTTCATCTTGAACCGATTCTTCCACAACAGCCAACATGGATCCCTTTTCTGCAGAGGGCGGTAAGTCTTCCGGCCCCTTCAGCTCCGATCAGGGCTAATGCAGTTTCCCCGCAGAGCTCCTCAACATCCACAGCGCCTTCCACTCAGGCCAATACCAGAATGTGATCGACTTCGAGACCGCCGCGCTCTCCCCCGAGAACAAACTCCCCGCTCAAGTCCTCAGACTCCGCGCCCAGATTGCCCTCGGCCAATTCGAAGAAAGCCTCGCCGAGCCCTCTATCGAAGAGGATAGCCCCGACTTGTCAGCTGTCAGGGCCCTGGCCCTGCAGTCCTCCAGCAACACAGACGCTGCCCTGCAACTTGCGCAAGAGCTCGCAGAGAACTACCCCGAAAACAATACCGTGCAGGTCCTTGCTGCTATTGTGCTCCAGGCCCAGGACCACAGCGAGGAGGCGCTGGCGCTACTGTCCAAGCACCAGGGTAACCTCGAGGCGTGAGTTACCCTGTCGCAAGTAGAGTGCGACTTAGGAAGCACATTGATCTGACAATGCGTCTTTAATTTAGCGTCTCCCTCATCGTCCAGATCCACCTCCAACAAAATCGGACCGATCTCGCACTCAAGGAAGTTCAAGCTGCCAAGCGCTGGGGTCAGGATTCGCTGCTGGTCAATGTTGCCGAGTCGTGGGTTGGCTTAAGAGTCGTATGTCGATGAGAAACCAATTTTGTCTGTTTTGATGTTGTATAGGTGCTGACTTTGTGTTTTAACTCTATAGGGCGGCGAGAGTTACCAGTCTGCTTTTTACGTCTACGAGGAGCTCGCCTCCGCACCCGGCACCTCTGCACCGCTATCTATTGTCGGTCAAGCCGTGGCTGAGATCCACCTGGGTCGTCTCCCCGAGGCTGAGGCTGCCCTCACCGCCGCCCTTGAGAAATACCCTACCGATGTGGAGTTGATTGCCAATAGCATTGTTTTGAATGTGTTGGCTGGCAAACAGACTGAGGACCTGGAGTCGTATGTTATTCCCTCATGGCACCGTTCAAATAGGAGAAACATGTCGATGCTAACTAGTCTCGTCTAGCCGGCTACAGCAGTTCCAGCCCGCGCACCCCCTTCTTACTGACATTCAGGAGAAGAGCGAGTTTTTCGATACCGCGGCGGCTAAGTTCTCTGCCAAGGTGGCATCATAGAATAATTTAAATACTGTTCCATCCATTTATTGTTTTGTTTAATCCGAGTCAGGGGAGCCTATCCTGCTTGTTTATGAAAAGACACGACCTCCCAATTTCGCAGTTGGAACCATATCTGGATTTCCTATTCTTTAATTTGGTATGAGACGTAAGAATAATAAGAACCCGTTTCTTTCTAACCCTTTTGCCCCGTACCATGTGGCAACAAATCACAGCCAAGCAGCCAACCACTGTCTCAACTCCGAACCTGTCTGAGTCTCCATAGAAATACCATAAAACGGCGCAATATGTATCTCATCATCCGCAACGACAAATGTAGTCTGCTCAAAAGCTGATTTGATCTTCTTCACGAATTCCTGGACAGGTGAAAGCAAGATCTCATCCCCACCAGCAAGAACTAAAATCCTCTCCGTCTTCGCACCACTCCAGCACTCAGCCGGCGCATTAAACGGCTCAATCCAAATATCCGCCGGGCTATCCCCACGGTACGAAGTAGACCACCTCGTCAAAATCGCCGGCGTAAGAATATCCTTCCATAGGTTATCCTTCATCGACGGCCACTCCGTGCTGAAGTCTACCCACGGCGCCCAAGTAAAGACGCCGGCTAACGGGGCCGACAGCGCCAATGGATCGATCTGCGCGTGTGGATGAGAAAGGTGCAGCAGCGTCGCTGCGGCTAGGTTCCCGCCTGCCGAGTCCCCGCCGAGAATCACGTTGGCCGGTGAACGGCCCGTCTCGTTGACGATGTAGCGCAGGGCTTCAACTGCTTGCCGGAGCTGGGTTGGGTACTTTGCGTGTGGGGTTAGTGTGTATCGGAGGAAGAATACGGCTAGGTCATGGCCGGTTTCGTTCAAAGATTGCAGCATCTCGACCCAGAAGTCGAAGTGGGCTGGGACGGCGGGCAAGGCGAAACCGCCACCTGTTTTCAAGAGATTAGTGTTTTGTTTGTGCGAAAAGATTCCGTCTGAGTAGGGTCTTTTGCTTTAGGATGAGGATTTCTCTCCGTATTATTCGGTAGAGATGGGGAATGCACCGTGGTAGTAGATGATCACAGTCTTGGCATCCTTATTTCCAATCCAGTGGCCCTCTGTGTTGTGTGGCAGTGTGACGGTCTCGGGTTGAAGACCGTGCTTTTTCATGACGGCTGCGTAGACCGCTGAAGTCGGGAGAGTGAGGTACCTGTGCGATAGTAGAAAGTCAATGGCTTGTTCATTCTCACTTTTGCAACGTTGAGATTTATATGCACAGTAATTTCGAGTGAGAGAGAAAAACATACTTCATCTGTTTATCAGACCTACGATCAAAGATTCCCCGAGTCACGGCGGCCAGAATGTGTTGGTCATAGCGCTTGGGGCTGGCTTTACCCCGGAAAAGACCAGTAGTGGCAGCGTACATCATGGTGGCGTACATTGATAGGTGCAGGAATGGGATATTTGCCTTTTCCCAAAAGCTGAGCTGGGGGACATCTTGGATGGACGACATTGTGAATTGAGCGATTGAAGCTCTTGGGATGGGTTAAACAAAAAGAGCTGAATCCCAACTTTTGTAGTTCATCTCGGCATCCCTACTCATTCAGTTCCCTGGGCTGTAGGCTCTGATCGGCGCCGATCGATCTACATCGGGATGTCTCCATAATCCCTGTTTCGGGCCAACTTCCGCGCATGGCATGAGATTGTGTCTGCGGGCGTGACACAAGAAGCATGAAAAAAGAAAGTGTAGTGGGTATTTCATAAAAGAGACCAAAACTGAGGATTGATTAGTCCAATGAGGTCAGATAGACAGTTACAACTGCCCAGGCAATGAGTATGTCGAAACCAAAAGTGTAACCTATGCCGAAAACGGGTGTGTCGAAGCCAAGGGTGTAACCTATAGCTGAAAACAGTGTAAAATACCCGAAATCAAACGGTCTTATATTATGGTGTCGTATAGTTTTATAAATTGTATGTAACGTTGAGTTAGCCTTATCCGCATTGATTGTTAAAAAGAGCGGATTTTACTATTTCAGCCAGTTAGAGAACTTGGAATTTTTTTTTTTACTGTATCTAATAGAATGTTACGCAATGCCTAACTGGTCACAGTTATGTTAGAAGCTTTCCTGATTATACTTGCCTGTGCTGATCCTCCAACGTCAACGATCTGCCTCTCAACCGAGCTGTTGCTGCGCACAGTCTTATTCCAGCCTAAGTGTCACGGTGCGAACCGTGATGCTTAGTTAGAGGAAGATCACGGCACGTGATCTCCGACCTGTTTATCTGAACTTCAGTTCTAGATCCTGTTGTAGCTCTGGGAGCTACGTCTTGTATAATAGCCTGCCCCTGCCTGTACCTGTCAAGGGGAATCTGATCTGTTACGACCGGTTCCTACCAGTCATCTCCTATCATACCGTCCTGCCAGCCCGCACCCTGACAGCGACGTGGCTTGCGGAAGAGGTATGGAGATGTTTGATGTGCTGGTGGAGCGTCCTCCATTTGCTGATCTCCTTGGCCACCCTCTTCAGGTTCGCCGACGTCATCTAGATCCATATCATGAATCTCTTCTACCCTTCCTTGGGTAGGCTCGTCCGGCCATTGCTGTTGGCAGAAGTTCTCTTCCTGAGTCTTCTCTTCCGCTTTGTGGGCGGGATTCCAATCCCTTGGTTGGGATTCTTCCACTTGTTCCGTGGGAGTGAAGCCCGTGCCTGGTGCTTCCTCTGCTTCTGGTGCAGGAACCATGTTTTCTCCCTTCTTGGTGGCCGATGGCTGTTTCCTTGTCTTTGTTACGACATGTCGTAACACTTCCTCCCTCCCCACCAGACGTGAGCGTACCCCTGAACGCTCCATTGCGTCCCATTCCGCCCTGGAAATGGTGGCCAGCTCGTGGTAGCTCGGCGGCGTCTCCGAGTCCGTGTCGATTATCTCGCCGCCGTCGAGTGGGTGTCGGATGTCCAAGCCTTTCCGACGAAGTTGGTACTTGCCACCTGATGAGC